ATTGCTATGAGTTTGAGGCTAGCCTGGTCTGTATAGTAAGACCCTGTTTCAACCACTGGCCCTACCAAAACAAAATGAGTCACAAATAGAACTGTCTCTGGACGCCTGGGTTCTCAAGGGGCCCTTTTATTTCCTCCAAGTTTGTGATATTATTTCTAAATGGTTAATTTTGTGGATCTAGGAATGATTTGGGCCTCAGGCCTGATGATCTTCCACTATGCAAATGATCTTCCGCTGAGCCACACCAACCTGGAGGCTGATTTTATTATCCTCCAATTTTTTCCAATGAGAATCTGGTGTTCACCATGCTAGTGAGTGACAGAGCTGGGACTTGAAGCCAGTTATCTGCTGGACTCAAAGGTCACTTCTGGGACATTCATTAATGACACCCCTGGACTACGCTGAGACAGTCCCTCTCTCTGACAACTCTATTTTGAAGGTGGTGATCCTGTCCCAATTTCTTTCATGCTGCCATTCAACTGTTAGTCCCATGTCTACCCATTGGGGGCGCTCTCTGCTGTGAGCTTGTTAGTCCCATGTCTACCCATTGGGGGCGCTCTCTGCTGTGAGCTTGTTAGTCCCATGTCTACCCATTGGGGGCGCTCTCTCTGCTGTGAGCTTGTTAGTTCCATGTCTACCCACTGGGGGCGCCCTTTCTGCTGTATGAGCCTGTGGCTAAGGCTGGATGAGAGTCTCCAACTGATTCTGCACAGCTCCCAGCTTCTCATCAACAAACCCTGAGTGGGTCTTACAGATTTGGCTTCAGGGCAGTGGTCACTTGATGTGGGTGGGGGTGGGACGTTGTCCTGCTAATTCCCTTCGTTCCATTTGTTTCTGCAGGCATTGCTGACTACAAACCCCAGAATGGGGAAACCATCGAGCTAAGGCTAGTTAGCTGGTAGCCTTGGGCTCCCTCCTGATGTCCTTGTACCTTGCTGCCACCTCAAGTGCACTTGGAGCAATGTCCCTCAGATCACTTCCACTATCTCAGCAAAGAGAATCCTAGGCTGGCCCTGCCTAACTCAGGGGCCTTTCATGAAGGCTGCAGCAGTCTAAAGAACAGGCTGCCCTTGACTTCCTCCCCATGGGAAGACTGCTGGCTGTGGGTGTTGAGTACCACTGCTCTGGGAATGGAGTCCTGCAAGGAGGCCTCCACAGCCCAGGGGCTGTGGTTCTGACCCCCTCTCCCCCACAATTTTGCTGTCTATTGTCAGGGTGGTGTTCCCAGAGCTGGTCATAGGCAGCTGCTGGCCAGCCTTCGGCGGGGCCTTCCAACATAATTAAAGCCTGATTTACCTTTCCTGGCCACAGTGTTCTGACTTCTCATAGTCATTGCCTGGGGTGAGGAGCAGAGGTGTCTGGGAGTCCAGCAGGACTTGTGAGCACTCTCCTGTGTATCAGGCATGAAGTGTCACAAACAGAGCTGACTACCCACACCTTTATAAATATCATATGGAACAGCCCTGGGGGTTGTTCATCATTTTCATCTCTCACTAGGAAGACGAGGGAACCAGTGGTAAAAAAGTAAAAGTGACTCAGAAAGGTCACAGCTAGGCAGTAACACTGTAGGAGGCAGTGTCGGGCAGGAGACATGACTTAGGAGACAGAGGCAGCTACTGACTCCTGATGGACCAAAGATATTTGCTGCGGACTGGGCTGTAGCTGAGTAGTAGAGCACTCGCTTACCACGCACAAAGCCTTATTATGCATGTAGCCTAGGCTGGCTTTGAACCCACAATCTTCATGTCTCAGCCTCCTGGGATTACCAGTGTGTCCCCACCATACCTGGCTTTGAAGACCTAATCCCCGCCCATTCACCTTCTGATACTATCACTTTGAGGTTAGATTTAAGCACATGGATTTTGGGGGACACACAGTCATACCAAAGAATGCTTATTTAAAAAGAACCTGTACACTACACCCATAATCTCAGCTGTCAAGAGAGAGGCTGCATCCCAGAACTGCATGAAACGAGAACTAAGTGATATTTGATGGGGTAGGAATATTACTCCCTTGTTACAGGCCCTGCCTGGCATGCACAATGCCCTGAGTTTAGCATCACATAAAGTCAGCTTGGTGGAGCACACCTGAGATACGAGTGCTTGGGAGGCAGAGGCAGAAATATCAGAAGTTTAAGGTCATCCTCATCTACATAAGGAATTTGAGGCCAGCCTGGGATATAACTGTCACACACACACACACACACACACTCCTGAGCTGAGGACCGAACCCAGGGCCTTATGCTTGCTAGGCCAGCACTCTACCACTGAGCTAAATCCCCAAACCCACAAAGCCATATTTGCCCAAAAGATCCCACCCACCAACCTGGAAATAGCTAAGGACAATCAAAAACTTGAAGTTGGGACTTGCCTGCCTCATCTCTACACTAGGGCTCGGTATCTCTTCCTCTTCTGGGTGTGGCCAGCCACGATGGTTGCCACCCCCAATTCCAGCCCCCAGGTTCCTCTTTCTGAGTTTATGTCCTAAAACAGGTATCTAATCTGACACACTCAGCAGGGACCCAGAGAAGCCAGGGATGAGAAGAAAGTCATATTTGGTGCAGGGTCTCACCATGAGCTTTAAGAAGCCCCTTTTCCAGGTCAGGGGGACCAGTCTGTGTCACTGTGGGGTGGTGCTCTCTGGTTCATGGTGTTTGTGACACAGGACACTAGAGCCCCGGTAGAGAAATGATCTGGTCAGGGTTGAGACCATAAGAAAAAAAGCTCAGACCTCCACATCTGCAGCCTGGTCACCAGGGATGAGTTCCTTTTTCCTTTCCAGCCTCCCTCAGAAGTGTTTTTGGCACCACCTGCTTCATAGAAGAGCTGCTGGGCCCTCAAACAGCAGGGTTCAGATTTGCGGACACCAGACACCATGGGAAGTGAAGGCCGCTGTGAGATTTTGAGCGGACCCCAAGGAATGAGAAAGCCCTCCCCTCCAGCGATGTGCTCTTTGAATCTGGGCTTCTTGGCCCCCCCATTCTCCCGCATGCAAACACTCTCCTACTGAGAGCCCTGTTGTCTATGCTGTTGAGACAAGTTAAAACGGGCTTCAAAAGTGGGCAGTGGCACACGCTTGGAATCCCAGTGCTCCTGTACATGCACACACACCACAAACAATAAACTGCGGGAGTACTTTCTCATCAGGACCACCAGCCCCCGAATAACGACACGGAGGCTTCTTATTGTGAACACTTGGCTTTTAGCTTAGGCTTATTCCCAACTAGCTCTTATCTAATTAACACATATTTTTAAATCCACATTCTGCCTCGTGGCTCTTTACTTTTCCTCAGTATGGCACATCTGACTTGCTTAGAGTCTGCTGGCGAGATCCATGGGCCTAGACTCCTCCTCCCAGTTCCTCTCTCTGCCTGGAAGTCCCACCTATTCTCTCCTGCCTAGTCATTGGCCTTTCAGCTTCTATTAAACCAATCGGAAGGCGACTTAGGCAGAGACACATCTTTACAGCGTACAAAAAGATTATCCCACACAATTTTAAAATTGGAAATAATACTTTTTAATTAAAAGAAGCTTGGTGGATAATGGGTTAAAAATCCCAGAGGAATATAACTCACAAGAAGCCCAAATTCCTCCTCTTAAAAAAAGGAGAGAGAGAGAGAGAGAGAGAGAGAGAGAGAGAGAGAGAGAGTGTGTGTGTGTGTGTGTGTTTGACTCAGCTTCCCTCCCATAACTCTTTTTGGAGAAACTATCTAAATGTCCCAGATTTTGGTCCTCTGCCTGGAAGTCCCCTATCTACAGTTCCTGTCCTTCAACTTGGGCTGCTCAGCAGCTATATAAGAGCTCCCACGGCATCAGAGTCATCAGAAGCAAGTGTGACAATGTAGATTCCTGGTTCATCCGGGACGGAGGTCTGATTCAGGTCTCCAGTGGGGACTGGCTTATTTTCACCTTTGATGGCTGTGAAGGGATCTGAAACACTTACGGCCATACGGGATTATGACCACCAGAGGGTGCTGCGGGCCGAGCTACTGGTCCCGCTTTGCGATCTTGTTTTTCTAGGGAGGTTGTCATCCAGGGCTTGTTAGTCAGATGACAGAGCCAGGTGATGCCTGTCCAGCTGGGCGGGAGCTTTCCCCAGAAATCCAATGACTGGAAAGAAGCTAGGTTCCAGGATGAGCCTTGATTCTTGATCACCTGGAGCAAGTTGTGTTTGGAATCGGCCTCTGGGGTGAGGGACTTAACCTATCTTGAATTCAGAGAACATCTCTTTTTCGGATGGGAAATCCGAGACCCACCCAGGAACAAGATTTTAGTGACAGCTGCTCTGCTTCTCGGCCTAGGATTCTGTCGTGTGAGCCCCAGGAAGTCCAGCTGTGAGTCACCTCAGAGTGCCCAGAGAGCAGCATACGGGGTCGGCTAGCCCGGGATGGATGTCGGCCCGCGGTACCCTGCTTCTCGTAGCTGTGGTTAGCCCTGGTGATTCATTTCCCCTTCTGCTGGCCCAGAGGGGGCGCCGCCCTGGTCTGGCAGGGGAGAAAAGATTTAGAGGGGAGTGGAGAGGTAACAAGATGAGGCAGTTTTAAGGGACCACGTGGTCCAGCTCTGCTAAATTCCAAGGTCTCTGGAGACATTTGTGGTCTGGGGTCAGGAGTCGCTTTTCATCGCCCAGCTTCTTGACGACAGCTTTGGGACATCTCTGCAGGGTACACCAGGGTTTCCAGCGCTGGATACTTTAAGGGAGGCTCTTGTAGGTGCTAGAGACGGCCGGGATTCCCGTTGGTGGCGCGTGCGGCCGACACTCCCCACTAAGGGACTTTGCCCGCAGCTGCGCAAGCCGAGCCAGAAGGCGCAAAGGCTGTGGGAGGGGCTAGACGTCCTCTGGGCTCCGGGGCGGGGCCTCGTGGGGCGGGGCCGACTGAGCCCAACTTTCCGGGTGGAGCGCTGCTTCGGTAGCCGCGGAGAGGGCGGGGTCGGGAGTGCCGAGCGGCGCGGGCGCGCTGGGCCAGACTGGAGCCCCGAGCTCTACGCTGCCAGATCCCGAGCCGAGCCGCAGCCAGAGCAGCCAGAGCAGCTAGAGCAGCTAGAGCAGCTGCAGCCAGGCCGAGCTCGCAGATCCGCGACCACCGGCCTGTTCTCCCCCTATTCTTCGCGCTGTCGGAGGCGAGAGGGACTGGGGGAGCGGTGGCTGCCACCTTTGCTTCCAAGCTCGGTGCGCGATCTCCCCTGTCCTGTCTGCTCATGGCCTGAGCACCAAATACGGAGGTCGGGGTCAGTGTCTTCACTCTGACGATCTGGGGGCCGAAGAAAATAAAAACCAAGAGGATTCCACGTAAGAGCATCGCGTGAGCTTGGGGCGTGGAGCAGAGTGAAAATTTCCGCTGGTACGGGAGGTGTCAGGGCTTACGAGGCCTGGGAGGGTACCAGGGAGTCCGGCATCCCAGCAGCCACGACCTCCGTTCTGCCCTGAGGGAGCTAGAATAATCGGGTGGCTCTAGGATCTAGCTCTTGAAGCGGTGTGGTGCCTTCTCTTGTCTGAGGACCTGGCCCAGCGAGTCCCTGGAAAGCCTGCCTCCTGCCCCAGCCCTTCTGGTGCGGATGTGCCGCTGCCCACTGGAGCGCCATGAAGGCAGGATGACCTCAGCCGAAGCAGTGGCTGTGGCTGGAAGTGCCCGGGAGCATGGCCACCCCAAGTGGCCTCCTGACAGCCTTGGGCAGCCTGCTCGGGTCAGAGTGGTTGTGGCAGCCCTGGTGTGGTTGTTGGCAGGAGCCAGCATGTCAAGTCTCAACAAGTGGATCTTCACAGTGCATGGCTTCGGACGGCCCCTGCTCCTCTCGGCACTGCACATGCTGGCAGCTGCCCTGGCATGCCACTGGGGGGCCCGGCGGCCCATGCCCCGCAGCATCCAAGGCAGAGTGTTACTGCTCAGCCTCACCTTTGGTACCTCCATGGCCTGCGGCAATGTAGGCCTGAGCACTGTACCCTTGGACCTAGCACAACTGGCCACCACCACCACACCACTCTTCACATTGGCCTTGTCTGCGCTGCTACTAGGCCGAAGACACCATCCCTTACAGTTTGCTGCCATGGGCCCGCTCTGCCTGGGAGCTGCGTGCAGCCTAGCTGGAGAGATCCGGGCACCCTCAGCTGGCTGTGGCTTCTTGCTAGTGGCCACCTGTCTCAGAGGCTTCAAGTCCGTTCAACAGAGTAAGTGCCTGGTCTCCATCTGAGGAGGTGGGGTGTGTGGCTGGGATGTTCTTGTCAAGGGGGTGACAGCGATCCTCTTTGACAGAATTCAGGGAGTTCAGGCCTCAAACTTAAGCCTTAGAGGCATAGTTAATAACAGGTGCTGGTGAAGTGTGCTCTATAACTTGGCAAGCCTTTTGTCTTACTGGGTCCTCCTACGGCCTCTCCTTGAGTTAGTCAGGTCTTTATTATCCCCATTTGACAGCTGTGGAGTCTCAGCCTGGGCCTTGTGCCAGTGAACAGCAAAGGCAATATTTGAACATGGCATTCAGAGTCTATGCTGCCTAAGCTATACGTCCTAAGATTATGAACCTAGAAGGCCAGTGTGACCTAGGGAAGGAAAGGGAAAGCAGCCAGGCTGTGAGCTGATTGGGAACACCGGTTTATCCAAGCCAGGGAAGTGATTACTAGTGGCCACGGTGTGACAGTCTGACTCTGAGTGTTGATCATCAGTTGTCACAGCCATTTCCAACTCCATCTTCACAGTACAGGGGACAGTACTGATAAGACAGTGTTATACAGTGGGAGGGGAGAGGAGGCTGTCCTGCTGTGAAGCTCAGGCTGGCCTCAAACTTGTGATTCTCCTGTCTCAGCCTTCCAGCTGCTGCCAAAGAGGTGTACGGCTGTCCCAGGTTCACATGGCTCCCCGGACTCCCACGCCTGGCTTGAGTGACTGGGTGGTGGCTATCGGGAGTGGGCAGCAGGACTCCGAGTTGAAGTAAGGTGCAATTGTCCGCCCAGCTCCAGTGTGCCTGACTTCCTGTCTGGGCAGCTGAGGGGCGTTTGAGTCATAGCCCCACCCTCCCTCCACCTTAACATAAGGAAGAAGTAGGAGAGTCGAGAATGGAAAGTAAGGGGTCTCGGGGTGCCGGGTATGGTTGGGGCAGCCTCCAGCTGAGGAACCGTGAAGTGTGGACTCTGTCCTGCCTGGCATCTTCAGCCGGGACCCAAAGGCCCTGTCCCCATCTTCACCCTACCCCATGGGCGGGGTGAAAGCCCGGTCTATTTTAGCCTCAGGTTACATGAGCCGAGCCCTGAGCTGGGCCTTGAGTTGGTTCGGGGAAATCCGACCCTGTAGGGCCTTCCTGGGCAGGGACAACACCAAGCAGAGAAGGCCCCAGCTTCTAGGCCCACATTGCACCTGCTAGAGCCAAGAACTCTTCATGCTGGGCTCTGGGCAGCTCCTGTCGGTAGGAGGGGCTGTGACTAGCCAGGCATCAGGGCATTCAGGCGTGTTCACAGAGGCATGTTACTGACACCCAGCCTCCTCTTGGCTTGTGCCAGTTCCCTTCTTCCCCCTCAAGGCTCAGTTTCTTACAGTGTTGGGTGCCCTCTTTGCCAGCTATGGGGTATTCAGAGTTATTGGTCACCCATCTGCTTCCCAACCCGACAGGCTTTGGGGCATTTCTATCCTCAGCACCTGACCTGGGGTCTGGCATAGAGGAGAAATTAAAATGATGTCTTTAATTGGTGGTTTTGATATCAGTTGACATCAGATGGGTAAACAGATTAGGCTGCATGCATTTGGGCCAGGTGCTAAAGAAAGCTAATGGTTCCACCAACAGAAACGGGAGCCTTGCTGAGATGGGGGAGTGGACTGGATCCAGGGCTTGGAATGGATTTTTAAAAAGAGGAAGTTTCTCTTTGCTAGAGACTCTTGGGCCAGATTCAGACTGGAGGATACAGATGTTCCCTGGTGCTGGATTCCCCCCTGAGATCAGATGCCACGAGAACAGGGACCAGGGATCCAGAGAGTGAGCGCAGGTGGCCAGAGAGCCTCTGCTCTCTTATGTGGGCCAGCTACAGGCTCAGTGGAGAAATGCCACCCTCATACTCAGACAGGCAAGGGAGTGAGGTGCCAGCCTGCCAAGCCTGCTGTCATCTGTACCCACCTGTGTTTCAGAACCTCACTTGGTCCTCATCCTTTGAGCCCACAGAGAGAGGACACTTTGCAGGAGGGAAGCTATAGAGCAAGGTGGACACAGGTGTGGTGTGGGCTCGAGAAGGCTGTGGAGGGAGCTGTGCAGCCACGGCCATGCCAACAGAGCAGGAAAGGGCATCCTGAGATGGGACACAGGCTGTGGAAGAGCCCTGTCAGTCATCAGGAGGAGAGCTGGGGGATCAGCTCCGGTGCTGGGTAAGGTACACTGGGTGTGTACGCTGTTCCTCCCCATGCTATCCACGAGGAGACCGAGACAGGGAGCTGACTATGTCACACATCCAGGGAAGGAACAAAGTGGAAACAGGACAGGAGGTGAGGGTTTACATAGGTCACTGCTGTGTGTTTGCAGCAGGGGTGACGTGTGTTCAGATGCTGACGTGAAAGTGCCTTTGAAGCAGGCGTGGAAGAGCATGCCTGCAATCCCAGTACCCTGGGAGGATCATGAGTTCAAAGCCAGCTGGGGCCACAAAGTCAAACTCTGTCTAGAAGCAGAAAAATAAAATACCTTTTCAGCCCGGCATGGTGGCACATGCCTGTAATCCCATCACTTTAGAAACTGAGGTAGGAGTGCCTCAGGGCTAGGCTAGGATGGACCAGTCTGGGATCTGTAGAGTGTTCTGGGCCAGCATGAGTTACATGGAAGGCCCTTGGCTCAGGGCTAGTGAGGCAGGTTTAGTGGGTGAAAGCATTTGCTGCACAGATGACCTGAGCTTGATGCTTAGAACCCACAGAGGAAGGAAAGAACCAACTCCTGAAAGTCATTCTGTGACCTTCACATATTCCACATATACACACACATACATCACACAAACTGTGTGTGTGACCTACATATACACACATCAGACACACATACACCACACAAACTGTGTGTGTGATCTACATATACACACATCAGACACACACATACATCACACAAACTGTGTGTGTGACCTACATATACACACATCAGACACACATACACCACACAAACTGTGTGTGTGATCTACATATACACACATCAGACACACACATACATCACACAAACTGTGTGTGTGATCTACATATACACACATCAGACACACATACATCACACAAACTGTGTGTGTGATCTACATATACACACATCAGACACACACATACATCACACAAACTGTGTGTGATCTACATATACACACATCATACATACACATGATGTAATTTTTTTAGTGTTAAAGACCCCATTTCAACCTCGATCCTGTTTCAATCTCTCTTCCCTCAAAAACCCCATAAATAAAAATGCCTTTGGGGGGACTGGGACTGTGTAGCTCAGCGCTAGAGAGCTTCCTTAGGGAGGGAAGCCCTGGGCTGGGTCCCAGCACCAGAAGGAAACAATAGAATGTCTCTGGAAAAACAGAGGATGGTGAAGATGGGCTGGCAAGGGTGGAGTTACTGAGGAGTCAGCACAACAGGCTAACGTTTTGCGAGTTAGTCACTTCTGCCACAGCAATCGCTGCCCTTCTGTGGGCTGCAGGGGTGGGGGGTTGGCAGGATGCAGGACAGGTGCAGGGGCTACCCCGGAGGGTGAAGTCCGCCTGAAACCAGATCCTTTCTGTCCTGGTGTCTTTCAGGCCCAAGCTTCAAACAGCTCCTTAGGTACTAACTTTGGAGTGAGTGAGCAGAGGCACTCTGCTCCTTTCTAGAAAGGCTTGAGCTGGAGAGACTGTTGCCTAGAGAACCCAGCCCAAACAGTGGGATGAACGGAGAGGGGAATAAGTGCCATTTCCTGTTCTAAACATGGCTGTGAGTAAGCACTGTGGGGCTCTTTGGAAAGTGTGTGTCAGGAAACAGAGATCTAGGGGGCCCAGGAGGACGCCGGTGCCAATTGTCGTCTCTCTTCTACTTAGACTTGGAGAAGGCTCTGTCTGGGGTCTGTCCTTGAGTACACACGGCCATTTCACCCTGTGTCAGCCTTTGATGGTCGCAGTGGTATGGACAGAGGCACATACAACCACGCAGGCAGCGGAAGTGCTTCTATTCCTTGGAAACCTAAAAGGCTTCTGGATTCATCTTGACAGGCCCCACTATTGGTAGTTTTTGTTTGTTTGTTTGTTTAGATTATACGCAGATTATCAAGCTAGACATGGTGGTGCACACCTGTAATCCCAGCATTTGGAAGTGGTGGGGGGTGAAAATACAGTGTTAGACAAGAGGATGAAGAATTCAAGGCAAGCCTCAGCCACATGGAGAGCTCATGGCCAGCCTTGGCTGCATGAAATCATAAAACATTTTTTAAAAAAAGAAGGCAACCAAACACCCTGATTTGAGATCGTAAACAGTGAGCAGCTGCCAAGAGCCAACAATGGCTGTCTTGTTGGTCCTTTGTCACCCGGCGGTCATAGCAAATGGGGGGATGACTAGTCTCACCATTGCGACTCAAAACTATTTTATCGAACTTCTTTCCTCCTTCCTTCCCCGCCCTCCTCTGCACACTCTCCCCCCTCCCCCAGCTCCTTCGCTCTTTCTTTCGTTGTAGCTGTAAGTGGTAGAGCCAGGTGCTCCGTGCTCAGTCCCTGCTTCCCGGCTGGAGTTGTAGGGATAAGTTTTATTTTCTACATCTCCTACGCATTCGCCACATTAAGGCTTTTGTACATGTTACCTTTGTGAGCTGTTACCTATAAAGGAGGAGTGGGCACAGGTCACAAGCCCAGCTGGCCTTGCAAGTGACACCTCACATCAGGAGCCACTAACCCTGCTGAGTGAGGGCCAGCTTCAGGAGGCTGGGTCATGAGGACGGGGTGTTCAGGGCTGGCTCTGGGTGCTGCCTCGATCCCAGTGATGACAGCCACTTTTCCTGGTTGCAGGTGCTCTGCTGCAGGAAGAGAGGCTGGACGCGGTGACGCTGCTGTATGCCACCTCTGTGCCCAGTTTCTGCCTGCTGGCAGGTGCTGCTCTGGTGATGGAGGCTGGAGTGGCCCCACCTCTGGCTCCCACTGACTGTCACCTCTGGGCCTGTGTCCTGCTCAGCTGCTTCTTGTCTGTGGTCTACAACCTGGCCAGCTTCTCCTTGCTGGCACTCACGTCCGCCCTCACCGTCCACGTACTGGGCAACCTCACAGTTGTGGGCAACCTCATCCTGTCCCGGCTCCTGTTCGGCAGTCACCTCAGCGCGCTCAGCTATTTGGGCATTGCACTCACCCTTTCAGGAATGTTTCTTTACCACAACTGTGAGTTCGTGGCCTCCTGGGCAACCCGTTGGGGATTGTGGCACAGGGACCAGCCTGGCAAAGGTCTTTGAGACCTGGGGGAGCACACGAGCCATACCTGGACAGTCCTAGCCTGACTCTTAACCATGGACAATGAGGTTAAGTGGAGAGCTACTATGTCTGCCAGGCCAAGGAGAGGAGGTGCCTTCTAGAAGGGCTGCCTGGGAGGCCAGGGACCTTCAGAGAGACACCCCACCACCCCCCGCCCCTGACAGCCTCACCTGTTACAGCAAGGCCCGCCACTGGATGGTGGGTCCAAGTCTGGCATGTGTGCCTGTCAGATGAGTCATTATGATTAGGGTCAAGTATTACGATGAAAATTGCTGGGCAAACTTAGAAAACCTCAATGTGTTATGAAGACGATGCCCAGTGGTTGCACAATCTTTCCTCCGGTGGGGGAGGCCGTTGAGGCACACCACAGAAGGCTTCTTCATTGCTGGGCTCCTCTAAAAACTTGGAGTAGCCTGTGCCAACTTCAGGTAGCTACCGTAGCCTCACTCCAGTGCTTCCTCCTCCCCCGGATTTGGGTCTTCCATCCTCAAATAAACTATTTTTGCTTGGACATCTGTGTCATTCCTTGGGGCTACAGTCAAAGGGACATAAAGGGAGTGGCTGGCTACCGCATGGTTCTGACTCCTTTGACTCTCTGTTGGCCTCCAGCCTAACACTGCTCTCTACAAGGTCCTCGACTGCCCAGGCTACCATTGTCCAGTGTCAGGATGGTGGTAGTGGCCCTGTCCCCCACCCCCATATGCCCTCTCTCCTCTTAGAGAGATCTTCCCAAAACACACGTGCTCTGGAGTCCCACTCTGCTCTGAGGACAAAGTCAGGGCTTTCCTCTTATTCCGTGTCCTTACCAGGCGCCTATCTCGCTGAGTATAATGCCAGCTCACCCACCAGAACCTTCGCTTGTGCTATCCCATCTGGTCCCTTTTCCTATATGCCCTCCACCCTCCGCTCTTCTCCTGGACACATCCTCACCTATAAGAGAAAGACCCCTGCATGCTACTCTCCCTTCAAGGAGGCCTGGTGAGAGGAGTTGTTCATGAGGAGGTGAGTCTAGGGTTGTGGGTACACAGGATCAGTCATAAGGACAGCTTCATGGAGGAGCAGGCACCAAGGAAGCACCCAGGCTAGCCTAGGGCCTAGGGAGTAGGCCTTTCATACCATGAACCTAGCCCAGAGCGCCCCTGTTGGTTGGCCCCAGCTTTGTCTATCCATCTCTCAGTCTTTGGTGATAGACAGCTAAGTTCCTATACCTATTACAATGAATAAGAACCTAGCCTGGGGCACAAAGGCCTGGGACCGGACCCCCTGCTCTGTCAGCTTAACTGCTCTCCCTGTTTAGACTGCATTGTTCTTTTTCCTTCCTTCCTTCCTTCCTTCCTTCCTTCCTTCCTTCCTTCCTTCCTTCCTTCCTTTCTCTTTCTTTCTTTCTTGTTTTTTCCTTCCTTCCTTCTTCCCTCCCTCCCTTCCTCCCTTCCTCCCTTCTCTCTTTCTTTCTGTTGTTGTTTTGAGATAGGATTTCATGTAGCCTAGTCTGGCTGGAAAGCCACCATGTACTGAGGGTGACTCCGGACTCTTGATCCTCCTGCCTCTCTTCCACAGGGCTGGGGTTACAGGCGTGTTCATCACAACCCTTGGGCTTATGCAGTACTGGGGCTTCAAGCATGCCAGGCAAACAGCATCCTACCAATTGAGCTACATCTCTAGCCCCTCCCCTCCCCTTTCTGAGCACCAGTAAATGATGCTCAGGGTTGTGATGGTCCCTGTGGGGAGGATTTGAATGGGGAGCCCAGTGGCGAGGAAGGAGGGGTGACCATCTCAGGTGGCTAGTCACGCACACCCTGCTCCCCACCACAGTTGCAGATCCACCTGGAAATAGGGTCCTTCTGAGTGAGGACAGAGTTAGAGCAGGTGCGGGGGCAGGGGGGCTGGAATCCAGAGAGGAACTACGTATTTGTTCATAAAGGACTCCTGTGCCAGGGCATGTGGAGGGTGGCCTGAGGCTGGGTGGGAGAGAGACGGGTGGTGAATGGCAAGGAACAGTGACATAGGGTTTCCTAGCCTCAGCCTCCACCCAGGCTGGCCTTATAGAGGACCTTGCTGAGTCACTGCCACCCACCTCTCTATGACTCAGAGATGCCACTCGTTTGGTCTGTCCCACCCTTACCAGCTTGCCCATCTCTGGATTCCACTCTCAGGCTGGGCTGAGCAGGAGAGAAGAGATGCTTTGGCTGGGGAAAGCCCCCTTGGTGACTCTTGTCTTCCTTATTGGAGGCACTCCACACCACTCTAGGAGTGTCCCTGCCCGGCCTCACCCAGGCTCTTTGGCCTCAGGAGATGCCTACTGCCTGGGGAGTCATTCCCTGACCCTACACACACACACACACACACACACACACACACACACACACACACACACGTCAAAGCCTGGCGGTGTGGGGACAGGACAGGGGTTAGATGGATCTGTGCTGGGCTTAGGTGCTGGCTTATCACCAGTAACTGAATTGATGTCCCCAAGGCCCTCCAATCAGTTTCCAGCAGAAGCAGAGACCAGCAGCAGAAAGCCAGGATCTCACTACTCACAGCAGGAAATCTGGCTAGTCTTGCCGGACCCCACGGTCACCTCTAGTGATGATCACAGCAGCAGGAATCCCATTGCAAGGTCACTGTCCCTCTGGGACTCTGTTGTCCTGGGCAAGTGCCGCACCTCTCTGAGGCTTCATGATTTTTGTATCCAGTCACTGCTGGTTGGTTTGCCCAGGATAACAAATGTTGCCTTTCGGGTTGGTGTGTGTGTGTGTGGGGGGGGGGGAGCTCTTCTCTCCCTCTCCGCTGCCTGCCTCCCTCCACCACAGCAAGTCTGAAGCCCCAACTGAATGTGATCATTCCAGATGGGGCCCTGATCACATGGTCACACTCCACCTGAGAGCTAGGTCAGCCTTTCTTGTCTTCCTCACCAGACCTGCCTTCAGGACCAGTGCCTCCAGCATGGTGGGGGAGGAGTAAGGGTGTGGCAGGAGGGAGCAGATGTAAGGACCAGCTGCCTTGCAAGACATCCAGCGATGCAGAAACAGCCCTATACTGCCCTGTTCTTTTAGGCGTGTGTTTCTTGTGATTTCTATCTTAACTGAGCCCTTACCACACACTTGGCCTGAGCTTCTGCGGTCTGAAGCACAGAACCAAGCCAGCACTGATAACTTTCTTTTGTCACAGTGTCACAGACTCGAGCTTCCGAGTCTTGATCTTAGCAATGACTGCTCGATGCCTTTCTTAGTGGGGCAGCAGCTTTCACCTTTCCACGTAAAGCAAGCGCTTTAAGGCTTCTTTTCGGCATGTCCGAAATGCAGACGTCACTCTGCTGTCCTTGTGCTTATTAGTAAGATAAGTCACCTACACACAACCGTGGTGACCCCACATCTGATAACCGTAACGAAGACCAATGGCAGGGGTGGGCAGAAGCAGGACAGGTGTGGCATTGCAATGGTGCACCCTCAGAAGCGCAGGCATTTGTTTCTGTCTGGAATTTACCATTTGATATTTTCAGACTGTAGTTGACAGTGACATTAGTCACTTCTTCTGTTGCTAACACCCTGACCCAAAGCAACACTGAAGGAAGAAAGGGTTACTTTGGTTCAGAGGTTGAGGTTACAGTCCCTCGGGTCAGGCAAGTCCAGCGCAGGAGACTGAAGCACTTGGTCACCTCACATCCACAGTCAAGAATCAGAGAGCGATGGACCCGTCCGTGTTCAGGGCAGTTTCTCCTTTTTCAGACAGCCCAGGATCCAGCTCAGGGAATGGTGCTACTCTCAGTGGGCAGAGCTTCCCACCTCAGTTAGCTTAGTCAAGATACAATGAACGCACCACAAGCAAGCCCAGAGGCCCCAGGGTGACAACTGAGACTACCCTTCACGAAGATCAGTACCAGGAATCCTGGAAAGTGGAAGTGGGGACAGCGGTGTGCTGTTGCACTAGGGACAAACGGAGCTCTGGAGTCGGAACTGGGTTTGAGTCCTGGCTCTTACATGCTGTGACTTGGAGCCAGGGCCTTCAGCTCCCCTGCCTCTGTGCTGTAAATGGGGCAGTGAACCTAACCCTGCGGCTCTGGGGAGCTGCCTGGGAAATGCTTAGCCCAAGTGTCCTGAGTCACTGTCACAGATGCTAGGGAGCTGGTCTCTCCACTTCCTCTGTGGCCACCTGCACACTGACAACCTCAGGGCAGGCCTACTCCTACTGGACAGAACAGGGTGTAGCCCAGGCCCCCAGGCTTCCTGCCAGGTCTTGGGGGAAGCCAGGAAGTTGGAGCTGTGCTGGGCATCCTGCCATTGTGGACTTCAGGCAAAGCCTTGTTTCAGCCTTAGCTACCAGGCTTCCCCTCCCATCCTGCCCTGGTACCCTTGGGTTGTCATTAGAGAAGGTCGGAGCAAACAAGGACTCCTTTTCTCAGTGCTAGGGACGGAACCCAAGGGTTGTGTGCCTGTTAGGCAACCTTTTCCTTCTAGTCCTACAGGAGGGCTGGGGATTGAGGCTATGGCTCCATTGGTAGAATACACATACAAAGTACTAGGTTTATCCCGCCAGTACTGTGGTGGCTCATGTCTGTGATCCAAGCACTCAGGAGGTGGAGGCAGGAGGTTCAGAAATTCAGTCATCTTCAGCTATATAGTGATTTTGAGACCAGGCTGGTAAATCACATCAACAGTAGGAACAAAAGGAAGCAAGGACTCTTCTTGTGTGTGTCCTTTCCCAGGTGGCACCGCGAGCCTCCTTCCCTGATGAGCCATCTTGCCAGTTCACTGGAGGAGCTGAGCCAGAAGGCCCAGGGCCAGATGACAATGGGGAAAGACTTAGGGCCAGAGTAGAGTAGTACATTGTTTAAAAATTGTTGGAAGTTTGTGTGGTGGCGCACACCTTTAATCCCAGCACTCGGGAGGCAGAGGCAGGTGATCTCTGATTTTGAGGCCAGCCCTGTCCACAGAGCGAGTTCCAGGACATCCAGGGCTACACAGAGAAACTCTGTCTCGAGAAAAAAACAAAACAAAACAAAAAACAAACTCTGGAAGTTCACTATTTTGAATTAGCTTTTGCACTAGGTCTTAATGTGCCAGATTAAAAACTAAAACCTGCGCAAGTTCCTACCAGCAAACTGAGACTAAATTACTATTCAGTAGAAATGGAGGGAAGAAGAAAGGATAGCCCGGGCTCCCAAGTAGGCAGCCGTGACTGGCATGACAGTGAGGTCGCCTGGGCGTTTTGTAATCCTTTAATCCTTACCAAAAGGTAACGAAGTAACCTGACGCGTCTGTCCCTCTGCCTGGCACTCTGGAGGGTAGAGAGGATTGCTAGTCCTGGGCTGTGTGGAGAGCTGGCCTCATGCCCCCTCCCTTACACACACACACACACACACACACACACACACACACACACACACACCCTTACTCCTCCAGTCCCCAACACACAAACTTTGAAATGAGCAGCTTCTTTTGGTTTTAATTACCCATTTCAAGGTCTTGTCTTCAAGTACACCTTTCTGTTTTTGTCCCCCATTTTCTATAACTCCACATTTTTCTGCTCAGTTAAACACTTCCTCTACTTTTTACATTCAAGTGTGTATGAATTCCTAGAAACATGATGTCTTATACACTTGGGAGGCTTCTGAGGCTAACCTAGGCTACCCAGTAAGTAAATTCCAGGTCAGCCTGGGCTACATACTGAGATCCTGTCTCAAAACACCAAGAGAAAGTCTAAGGGAGACACCTGCAGGTCTCTTTCCTATCCACATAGATTTTACCAACCTACCTAGGAGGCGGGGCTTAAACAGGACCACCCAGAGGTTCCTCTACCCAGGCTGTGTCCAGAGAAAAGCCCAGCAGCTGAGCCTGAGGACAAGGACACTGCTCATCCCAGCCATGATACCATGAACCCCGCAAAACCTTCCTTGCCTCTGCTAACCAACCACTAATTGAGGCAGGCGCCTTTCCAGGCCAAATCCTGTGTAATACACCCCCAAAGTTCTCTTTCTACAAAGCTGATTCCTTGGGCAGGCTGAGCATGCTGAGGCAATCTGGCCTTCCATCTTCTGTACACATATGCCCCTGACCCGAGGTCAGCTCAGCATGTCCCAGTGTGTCTACTCTTTCCTCTTCAGTTGTGAAGTCCAACTGAGCATGTCCAGGAATGGGCCAGCACCTGTAGGAATATGTCTAGGCTCCCTGAATATAATCTCCACGGTTGCTTTGTTCAAGGGTCAGGGGCGGCAGTGTCTCCCAGTGGCAGCCTTTTGAGTTCCCTTAGTTTTAGGGATCTCCACTCAAGTAGAGCTGGATTCTAGGCTTCCAAGTAGAAAAGAATTTCAGGAAGAGCCAGTCTGAAGCAGAGTTAGTTTATTTAAAAAAACAAACATTTTAAGCGCAAAGATGTAGAAAAAGAGGAGCAGGGGAGGAAAGCCAGCATCTCCGAGAGCGTGTGTCTGGGTGTCTCAGCCACAGCTCAGTGTCTTCACAGCAGCCATCTGTATGTTTCTAGTGGCTTTGGACTTGAGCCTAAGATGCTCATGGCTAGTTTCTATGCACTGGACAGGGGCACTGCTAAGGTAAAACTCTAGATCACAGGGTTGCTGGGGAAGTTAAGACGTTTCTACTGTAAAAAAAAAAGGGGGGTTAGTCTTGTTTTTGGGAATCCCAAAAATATCTAGGAAAGGAGTAAGGTCACACTTAAAGGTCATATAGGTTTAGGCCTTAAGCAAGGTTCACTTATTTTAACATAAAATGTGTCTATAAATTAAAGGGCAACTCCTAGCTGTCACCCTTTACAACAAATGTTACTGTGCTAGAATATTCTCTTCTGCAGGAAGCACCAACCAGTCTCCTGCTCCCTCTCATGAATGTAAGGGCTAGAGGATGAGGAGACAGGCTGGCTGCTGGATATCACGTGGCCACTGTAATGTCCACTCTTAGCACCGATTGTTACTGGCACAAGTCAAGCCTCACCTTGTGGAGGAGCTACCAGCAGTTGATGGCTGCTGAGAGAGACAGGGCCTCTCTCCGTTGGCAGCATGGCCACTGCTAAGTTGCCCACACCCTAGGTATGATCCCACACCCACGAGCATATGGGCAGCACCACCTGGTTTCAGGGTTATTAATAACAACAACAGCAACAAAAGGAGGACATGATATTGGGAGGGAGGCAGAACAAGGGCACTAGGATGACTTGGAGAAGGCCCTGGGGGACGGAGACAATCAAAATATACCTATACGTGTATATTTTCCAAAAATATATTATTTAAAAATAAAAAATATGGACAAGGAGAGGGAGGGAGTAGTGTAATGACATCTATCAATACACCATAACAAAACTCCTCATTTACAGCTGAACGGTGGTAGCACAGACCTTTAATCCCAGCACTTGGGAGGCAAAGCTGCAGGTCTCTGTGAGTTCAAGGACAGCCAGGACTACAAGGAAAAATCATACCTTGGAAAACCAAGAAAATTTAATTTTTAATATTTTAAAATATCGATACTTCCTTATATAGTCACAGAAAAGTTATGAACATTTAAGGGAACTTACTGGGAAGAGAAAGGGGTTCAGAAAAAGTGGGAAGGGATGAGGGAGGGTAATGAGGAGTAAATATGATTAGTTTTAATCCAGTTCTGGTGAGGCCATCATCATGTGACCAGAATTCTGTAGTACACACCCTAGAGAAATGAACAACCTGTGTGCAATGTGTATGGCAGTTTCACCTATAACCCCTACACCCGACAACTAAATACACTTCAGTGGGTAAAAAGTGGCAGAGCCGTACAAATGCCATAGAACAAAGACAGGGGCTGCGTGAGGGGCGAGCGCCAGGCTGCCCGGAGAGGCAAACCTGTAGGCACACACGTGTGTGCTTGTCAGCGTGTGGGGAAGGCTTGGGTTGGGGTCTGGCCACAAAAGGGACCCGTGACTGGCTCCTGATTTGTGGTGATGGCGTCATTCTACGCACCTGTTAAAATCCAACAGGGGTGGTGGTGGTAAGCACACTGAGGAGGCAGAAGCTGAGAGGCAGCCTGATCTCTCTGAATTTGAGGCTAGCCTCAACTACATATTGAGTTACAGACCAGACAAGAGTTCCAGACTCTGACTCAAAACAAGCCTCAAAGAACTGGGCTGGAGATTAGCTTAGTGGTAGAACATTTGCCTAACACACACAAGGCCGTGGGTTGAGTCCCATTTGGGAATGAGGTGACCCAGAAAATTGTGGATTCAAAAGTTGAATTGAAGCCGGGGGGTGGTGACGCACGCCTTTAATCCTAGCACTTGGGAGGCAGAGGCAGGCGGATCTCTGTGAGTTCGAGGCCAGCCTGGTCTACAAAGGGAGTTCCAGGCTACAAAGGGAGTCTACAAAGGGAGTTTCCAAAGCTACAGAGAAACCCTGTCTCAAAAAACCAAACAAAAAGAAAAAAGAAAAGAAAAAAAAGTTGAATTGACATGCTAATTTGAACTTAAAAAAGATTTATTTTCTGTGCATGAGTGTTTTCCCTACGTGTATGTATGTGCAATACATGCATGCCTAGTACCCTAGGAGGCCAGAAAACGGCATCGAATTCCTTGGAGCTGAATCCACAGAGAGTTGTGAGCCACGAGGTGGATGCTGGGAATCCAACCCAAGTCTTCTGCAAGAGCAGTAAATGCTCAGAACCACTGAGCCATCTTTCCACCCCTAGATTATTGTTTTATTTTTATGACTAAAAGATTTAAATAAAGTTATTTTAAAAGAAAATTTCTATCTGTGTTTCTGCCAGGAGAGTTAGAGGGTGGGGGCTTGGCCACACCTGCCTGCTGTGTGTGTGTTTGGTGGGGGGTTTGCTTCTGCTGAAGGGTGAGATTAGTCCTAGAGCAGCGGCTTGCCTCCTCCCACTTGGACCGCCTCATACCAAACCCCTGGGCAGTCCCTTTCTGAAAACAGGGCACAGGTAGGTTGGGGAGTATGGTTGGTTTAAATGTCAGTTTGCCATAAATCAGAATCACCTATAGGGAGCCACACCTGGAGCGTTGCTTGGTTGCCTATAATGGATGTGGGAAGACCCACCCAAGAGTGGGCAGCACTTCTGGAAGCAGCTCAGATAAAAACGGCATGGCGGCAGGAAGATCATTCACCCCTGCTCTCGGCCTTCCCACATGCCGCTGACATCAGAACCAGCATTTCCAGGCTCTCTGGGAGCACTCCAGGTTTTGGGGCCAGGCTGGGACTGCTGATGTCCCAGACTCATGGACTGTGGCCTCTCCCTCTCCCATGAGAGACAGACGCTGTGGAACCACTTCCACTGCTGAGCGTCCCATATGCTAAGTTAAATTCTTTTCTTTTCACCCTACCGGTTCTGCGCCTCCTGAGAACCCGGCTCATACAGGGGGAAGGTCTGCAGTTTCTACAGCACTCGAGATGCACAGCACCGCATCAAGCCACCCAACAGGGCAGCCGTGCTGTTGTTTGCTCATAAGCAATCTGAAAGCTCTAGATCTGACCAACTGGTCAGTGTTTGTCAATGTGACATAAACTAGTCACCTTGGAATAGGTCCTTCCACTAGGTGAGCATGTCTGTGGGGCTTCTGGACTAATAATGCAAGAATAATATGGGAGAGGGTGTAGCCTGCTCTGGGCTGTGCCAGCCCGGGCAGGTGGTCCCGGACTGTATAACAAACTGGGATGAGCAAGCCATGGGGAAGGAGCAAGACAGTAAGCAGCATTCCTCCTTGCTTCTGCTTCAGTCCCTGCCTTGAGTTCCTGTCCTGACGTCCCTTCATGGTGGATTGTGTGGACCTGTAAGTCAAAGAAACCCTTTCCTCCCCCAAGCTGCTTTTGGTGTTATACCACAAAAAGCAAAGTGGAGCACTGGTCTTTGCAGGGCATGGTGGCACACACCTAGACCCCAGCATTCCTCAAGTACAAGCAAGAGATAAGGAGCTCAAGGCCACATGGCCTGGGCTACAGGGGACACCTCTTTTTTTTTTTTTTTTATAAAAAATATTATTATTGTTATTGTTAATTATTATTATTATCTTGATTTTTTGAGACAGGGTTTCTTTGTGTAACAGTCCTACCTGTCCTAGAACTAGTTCTTGTAGACCAGGCTGGCCTCAAACTCACAGAGATCCTCCTGCCTCTGCTTCCCGAGTGCCACTACCCAGCTGGATTCACCTCTGAAACCAAATACAGCCTTCTTGAGTTGGGTCCTGACATTAAGTGATTCTGAGCAACCCTGAATTTCAGGGCCTCCTGGAGTCAACTCACCTGTCCTGACCTCTGTCCCCATAACTCCTGAACAGCCAGCCAGCCTGGGACACTGGATCACACGGTCTGCAATTCTACATAAGGCCTTTTGGAGAAAGCTGGGCGTGCATCCTAGGCTGCACAGCGGGAGCTCTGGCAAACTTCTCAGATGAGGCTTAGCAAAGATTAAGCTATTTCTTCTTTCTCACAGAGGCTTCTGAGACACATAAACAAAGGGCTGTGTGTAGACAGGACGGCCTTCCGGATGAGTACTGCTGATCGGAGCAGCGCTGTGATCCACGCCCTGTGCAAGTCTGGCCTGGAAGACCAGAGCTGGGCCACTGTGGTGAAGGTGGAGGGGAGGCCCCGTGTCTAGTAGGTTGGCACCTACTGTGAGACATTGGGGAGCACCAGGATGCTCAAGGCTCTGACTTTGAATGAATGAGGTGGGATTTTGGCAGAGTCATCTCTGGGTTGGTCATCTAGGGGAGAGCTGCAGGACCCCAAGGCTGCCATATGCACTGTGCACTGGGCTCTTTGGCATGGCCACCACTTGCCTCCCCCATCCTCCAGACAGTAGCTGTGACCTACCACTCACCATGCTCTAACCAAAGAATTTAATATCTAAAGACACATACTACAGGGCAGTAATTGTTGAGTTGTTTGTTTTTTTGAGACAGGGTCTCACTATGTTGCCCAGGCTGGCCTCAAACTCACCTTGCAATCTTTCTGCTTCAGCCATCTAAGGCATGTACCCCCTAAACCTGTGGATTAGGAGGTGAAAAGTTATGGCAATGCTCTATTCTTGCCCTTATGAAAAGCACCATCTGGTGTGCTCCTGCAGCAACACAAGTAGAGTGTTCAAGTTTAGACGTTGGTGTACTATTAATGACAGATCTGTACTGCTGACCCTGATATAGGAGCTGGTTGGGTTGGCTTACAGTGGAATCATAAAACGGATCTCCTTCTCGTAGATGTCTGGGATCAGTCCCATCGGGGAGTTAATCATGTGCATTGTATTCTTGCCGAACAGCTGGAATTCATAATGGATGAGCTGCTCCCAAAAGCCACTGTTGGGTCGAATGATGGGGCGGCATGATTTGGTCCACGTGTGGGCATCTAGAAGGGTCATGGCGTGGTATTTCATGAGGTAGGCGAGGCACAGGGCAGCGGAGCGGCTCACACCAGCAGCACAGTGCAGCAGGGTGCGGCCCTGCTTCATCTCCACGGAATGGATATGGTCAGCGATGGGGTCGAAGAAATCGCAGAGACGTGCAATGGGCGCATCCATCACAGGCACCTGCACGTACTGGATATCCTCGTAGAAGGTGTTGGCTACCTCTACTGAGACGTTGATGACCGTGGTGATCTGATTGCTGGACAGCAGGAGCTTGTTGTTGGCAGCCACACCATTGCTGATGAACAGGCTCTTGGTGATCTGTGAGAGGCCACTGATTGAAGGCTGTGGGAACTGGACTGCAAAGGCACCCAAAGGAGAAGTCATCAAGGTGACAGACAGGTCAACAGCCGGTGCTGGGTTACATGTCCATCTTTCTGCCAGGCTGTGTCCACTGAACACTGTGGAAAGGAGGGTGAAGAACTGAGAAGAGTTCTGGGAAGTGGACGGCTGGGTCTCCACGGCTAGCCAAGGCCTTCTCTGAGCAGCGGTCAGGGAACCCATTAGTTACACTAAAGTTACTGGACTGTTGGGGGGTCTTTTCACACAGAAAACAATGGAAACGAGAACAGTCAGCCATGAAAGGAGTACGGGATAGACTTTAAAGGGACTTCAGCTAGAGAGTGGAAGGGGGTCAGCCAGGGTCCGAGAGACCATGGGACAAAGGAAGGAGCAACTTGGGTTTACTGGGATGGGTTCAGGTCAGGTCCTAAAGAGCTTCCGGAGAACAGGTGGTACTCGGCAGGGTCTTGGTCCCTAGAGAGTACCCACACAACTGGACACAAAGCTGATGAGAAACTCGTCACGTATTTTGCTCAGCTGTGCCTTCAACATTTTTGTTTGTTTGCTTGTTTTTTTCAAAACAAGGTTTCTCTGTAGCTTTTGGAGTCCATCCTGGAACTAGCTCTTGTAGACCAGGCTGGCCTCGAACTCACAGAGATCTGCCTGCTCTGCCTCCTGAGTGCTGGGATTAAAGGCGTGTGCCACCACCGCCCTACTTTGCGCCTTCCAACATTAATGACTCCAAGTCAACTGAGACCAAGTGAAAGTGAAGCCCGGCGGTGCTCACCTGGAACACAGCGCTCAGGAGGCAGAAGAGGAAGGTGGGGGGCTCTGGACACAAGGGCGCTGTTTCCTGCCCCCTACACTGAATAAAGAGCCAGGGAAACAAGCTACAGGGTTTCTTTAGTTTTTTTCCTTTGGCAAAGAAACAGAGCTGTTTACTTAAAATTAACCTTTGGGAAAATGGGATTACAGAGAGAACAAGCAAATTTCCCAAGCAGGCCAGTTTCAGCTAGCATAAGGGACATCTATCTAAATCCTCCCACAACAAAGGGTCATCCAAAGTAACATCAGGCCAGTCAGTGATGTTCCTACAGGTCTGTCTCCCTGTTCCTGCCTTCCAAGGAGTGTAACTTTGAAGTGACCAGTGTTTTTGTTTCTGTTCTCAAGTCCTTTTCTATCCACAAAACCACAAACCTCCTTTGCTTGGCTCACTGTAACATTCTGTTGTACAGAATAAAGTGTTGTACAACATTAGAAAATAGAGCCAAATAAGATTTTTAAAATGTTGATCAACGGGGCAAGATGTCTACCTTATAAAGAGGTGATGAAACGAGACAATCCAAGGGCGTGTAGAGAGGTTAAAATGCAGATCCTTGTGGGAATGACACGTAAAGGCTGGGGGCTGTAGAGTTGTTAAGATGGTCTGAAGCCATCACAGACAGGAGGGCATAGAGCAGACGGGGAAACTGAGGCAAAAGACGGGGGAGTTCTAGACCAGCCTGGACTACTGAAATTCTTTAAAAACAAAACAACCCACAACAAAAGAACAGACCCAGTATCATTCCCCACAAAAATGAACAGTTTGGATTGAGGAGGAAGAAGAGAGAAACTTGGTTGCGGCTGCTTTCGCACTTTATGGCCAATGAGGCCTTTGACATCTAGTTAATTTGTTACTCGTGGAAAGTGAGACTTGAGGAAAAATAGTTTTGTTCACCGTCAGACAGCAAGTTCTTTCGGGAGAAAGCTGGCAAATACAGGTGGGGCTTTGGTTAAATTCTGGGTTATAAACTGGACCAGAGTCCACAAGTTGATGGGCGGGAGGTGCCACTTCAAGTCTAGGACGCTTCCTAGGGAATTGGCTTAGAATGGCTCTTATGTGGAGACAGGGCTCCGACCATCTTACCTCTCAGCCGCAGGACCGCGGGAGTCTTTCAGGAAGCAACCACAGGGCAGAGCCGCGGACGATGGTCTCCGAGAGGGTCCGTCATGATCCTGGATCTCGGTAGCAACGGCTTCTCCTCGCGCAACAATGGGCAGTTCTGGGCCTAGGGGGAAGCCGCGGCCTGCTCTGCACCCGGACGTAGCGTCGTAGGACTCGCGCAATCATCAGACCTCTCGGAGAAGCCGGGAAGGCTGCAGCACAGCGTACCGGCCCGTCTCCACGGAAACGCGCCTGGCAGCGCGTCTCAGACAGCCGGAAGGACCGACCTCAGGGCGGCCGCCTTCAGGCCCCGCCCCCTCACGCGTCTCCTAGGCAACACCCTACCGAGAGTCACAAAGATCTGGAGGTCTGCAGCCTGCAGGCTCCGCCCCTTGCTTGTCTCCAGGGCAACGCGCAGAGCTCCGCCTTAGACTTAAGTATAGAAAGTCGCTCGGCGTCCGCGCGCCCTTCCAGCATGGTTTTTGGCATAGCTAACCTTCCCGAGTCCTTCGCCGGCCTGTTAGGTTCCTCCACACAGCCCAGAAGGCCTTCAGTCAAATGGGATTTGGGCTCGAATTTCGACTCTGTTGCCAAGGAGCCCACTGCCTCTGGCATGGACTTCCGGCGCGAGAGACTAGACAGCCAGCCGGATCTCGGCGTCCGCGTCCAACCACAGATCTACTTCCTGCGGCCGCGGCCTGCAGTTCCGCAGTTGTTATTCAGGTGTGGTTTTGGTTGCCGAGCGGTCGTCAGACCCGGGACCTCTGAGGGAATCCGAGCTTTCAGATCCACACCGCCCCAGTCGTGTCCCCCACCCCCGCCCATCCGAGTTCCTCAGACTTCAGACCCGGACCAATCTGTAGGACATAAGCCTGGACTCGGGCGTGAAGTCGTCCCATTTTCAGCCCTCCGAATGAATCCTGGCCCTGGCTTACTGTAGGCTTGACATTGTGCGGTCCGAGCGCACTTTGAGGTGACACCCGGTGAAGCTCAGGTCTCAGGCTCACAATTACTTGACCACCCGCTTTCAAGCCTTCCCATTCTCCAGTGATTCTGGAAAAGCCTTCAGTTTCCCCTTGTTTGGCCCCAATCCCCACAAGCCTTAATCCTGCCCCGCTTTCTCAACCCTTCCCTCAGCCAAGTTCCTACAGAGGATTTATTATGGAAAAACAATTGGGTTCAAAATGCCCATTATTTATTGCTTGAAAGAGTACTTCCAACCTTTCTTCTTTTTCATGTCTACTGTTGATAAATTTGATGTGTCACTGAGTAGAGAGGATCTAAGTATTTAGTCTCTTTCTCTCGAAAACAGGGTTTAGTCTTGTGTGCGAATTCCTGACCTTTAAACCTGTTTTCCCGTCAGCACCTGGGTATGTTGGATTGACTTTCATAGAAGCCAGAAAAATGGAAATAGGAAGCTTGGGATTTTTTTTTTTTGATTTATTTATTATGTATAGTGTTCGGTCTGCATGTATGCCTGTACGCCAGAAGAGGGCACCATATCTCATTATAGATGGTTGTGAACCACCATGTGGTTGCTGGGAATTGAACTTGGGTCCCCTGGAAGAGCAAGCAGCCTATGCTCTTAACCTCTGAGCCATCTCTCCAGCCCCGGGATGTTGATTTTGTTGTAATATTTGTAAAGGTAAGGACACCCAGAAGACAGTGAGTTGGAAAAGATTTTATAATCCCTTGAAAGGTTATTGTCCCCCTGCCCTTCTTAAACTGGACATGGTTGCCCATGCTTGTTATCCTGGCACTAGGGTTGGAAATTCAAGATCATCCTTAGTTTAAGAGGGCGTTCTAGGCCAGCTTGGGATATATGAGACTTTGTCTCAAAAAATATATCTTTTTGTTTGTTTTGGTCCTAATGATAAAAGTATTATACTTTCTGATGACGTTGTTCTGATGTGCTAATGAAAAGAATTTATGAAGGTAACATGAGCTTTCATGTTTGTTGCTCCTTCTGTCCCTGTGTGTATTAGCCATCCAGCCAGCTGTTTCTGTTCAGTCAATTCGTGAAAGTGTGCATGGAGTTCTTCCTTTCTTGTTCTTGTTTGTTTGGGAATCTGTATTCAGGGAACACTTCTCCAGCACATCGGTCATTTCCCTGGTTTCCTTTAAAATGGTTTGTCAAGCCGGGCGATGGTGGCGCACGCCTTTAATCCCAGCACTCGGGAGGCAGAGACAGGCGGATCTCTGTGAGTTCGAGACCAGCCTGGTCTACAGAGCTAGTTCCAGGACAGGCTCCAAAGCCACAGAGAAACCCTGTCTCGAAAAACCAAAAAAAAATAAAATAAAATAAAATAAAATAAATAAAATGGTTTGTCAATCATTACAAAAGTAATGTACACTGATTAGAACATCATCAACAACAAACTGAAGACAGACCAGCAAAACGAATGAGCAGATGCGATCACTGTTAACATTTTGATGTGTACACGTAAGGTCCTGTGCTGGTTAGCTGCTGTCACCTTGAAACAAGCTAGAGTCACCTGGGACAAAAGAACCTTGGCTGGGGAATCTCCTGCAGCTGATTGACTGGTGGGCCTGTCTGTGGGGCGGGTTCCTAGTGATTGATGTGGGATAATGCAGCCACTGTGGGTGGTGCCACCCCTGGGCGGGTGGCTGGGTTGTATAGAGTAATGGAAAGCAGGGCAGTAGTGGCCTTCCTGCTTTAGCTCCTGCACTGAGTCCTGCCTCAGCTTCTCTTGATGAGCAACTGTAACCTGTAAGCTGGAACAAACACTCTCCCCTCAGGTTGATTTTGGTTAGTGTTTTATCACAGCAACTAATAGGCTAAGATAATACATATATGTGTATGTGTGTTATAGTTTTAAAAACAAACAGCACAAAACATCACTGTTTAGCAATCTCCTTTTTTCCTCTTAACTAGTTATCACACCAAAATAGTTATATTTGAGTACATGTATTTTATCTGATGACTTAGAATGTATAAACAATTTTGTTGTTGTTGTTGTTTTGAGACAAGGTTTCTCTGTAGCTTTGGAGCCTGTCCTGGAACTTGCTCTGAAGACCAGGCTGGCCTCAAACTCACAAAGATCCATCTGCCTCTGCCTTCTCAGTGCTGGGATTAAAGGCATACACCACAATCGCCTGGTTTGAACAATTTTTTTAAATGGAAAAACCATTTTAAAAGCTTCGTAGTGTAACTAAATTATCAGAAAATGAAAACCTACTGGCTAGCAACATCCTTTGATGTTGTTTTTTGTTAAGATATGTAGCCCAGGTTAACTTAAACCACAATGTAACTAAGAATGCCCTTGATCTCCTTCTTCTGCCTCCCAAATAGGTGAGTTTTTATTGGTGCCGGAGACCCAGAACTGTGTGCCTGCTAAACACACATTCTACCAACTGAGCCTGGTCCCCAGCTCCTCATTCTTACATTGCTCCCTAATTCTCACCCTGTGGGTGTCTCCAACCCATTGATGCCGAGGGGCTCAGGATTCCTGTGAATGCCAATGTCCAACACAACACAATGTAGCAAATTAAAGCATTGGGAGATTAGGCATAGATGGGGGAATCTTTTTTTTTTTGGTAACTCAATTATGTGATTCCTGAATGTGAACTCTGTCAATGACATTGTTGCCTTGTGGTGTCAAAAGGTGGAACATACCGAATAGAGTCTCCAGAAGTCCTATAGCACCCCACACCTCCTCCCTCCCCAAACTCATTCATTAGACTTCCTTTATTAATGAACCCTGTGTCCACCCACACTCCTCCTTATCTCTCCCTCCTCCTTTTCTTCTCTTTTAAAGAGAGTTGCCTGTGTAGCCCAGGCTGGCCTTGAGCTCTCCATCTTCCTCCTTTCAGCTTCCCGAGTGCTGAGACCACAGACGCGCACCAGCACAACCAGCTTTCCTCCCCACCTTCTTCATCCTGTTCTGTTCTCTGCCATTTCCCAGACCCCCTCAGATCCAGGCTACGAAGGAAGAACTCCCCATCTCAGCCTCTCTCAGATTCATCTTTTGCCTCTACCTTCCAACTTAACATTCATCTAAGATCTCCACCTTTGCTCTTACCCTGCAGTTTCTCATAAGATGACCACGCCAGCACAGTGGGCGATCTCAGGGGGTGAGCGCTTGATTAGTGTGTGCAGCCCTGGGTTCCGGCCAAGCACCAGCACAGAGTGTCAGTAACGACAACAGCAATTCTTGAGGACTCTTCTGCTTCTCTGCTGACCTCTCTTGAGGCCTGCTCTGGGCCTTTCTGTGTCCTCCCAGGATGCTCTTTCTCCTGTTCAGGAAGCCGCCTCTTAGCAGACCTCATCTACAGGCAAAACTTAGAGTGGTTTCCTTGCTCCTCTGGAAGTGAGAAAACCACTTATCTTGAAAGCCACGGAGGAGCCAGGTGCTGTGGTACACGCCTTTCGTCCCAGCATGTAGGAAGCAGAGACAGGTGGATCTCTGTGAGTTCCAGGCCAGTTTGACCACAGAGCGACTTCCAGACCAGCCAGAGCTACGTAGCAAGAGCTTGTCTCAAAAACAAAACAAAATAAACTCAAAGAGCAGCTGTCAAACAGGCCTTGACCAGCTGTCTCTAACCGGTTCCCTCTCCCCTTGACCAGCTGTCTCTAACCGGTTCCCTCTCCCCGCCCTCTCTAGCATATTGAATTCCAGCGATGCCAATGTGAAGAAGCTTTTACCCAAGAGTCATCTGTCTCGGGTGATTATTCGGGACAACCTCAATGCACAGCGCATCTACGAGATGGAGGTAGGGTACCCCGGTTTCTGGGTTGGAGCCTGTTAGCAGCCTGACCATTCTTCTCTCATAACTCCTTCCTTGCTAAGATAGCTGCCTGTGGAGCCCAGGGTGGAAGAGGGATTCTCAGCTCCTAGAGCTAATAGGAGGCCATGAATGTATTCTAAGGTAGGCCCCATCTTTATGGGGGAGAAAATGATACTTGGGGTTAGTGTCTCCCCCAAGGTGTCACACCTGCTCTCACTTCCTGACAAGAGAGAAAGCTCTCGCCTCTTGAGTGGTTTCTTGCTTTGTTCCCTCAGAACATATTATCTCCCGTGCAGAACCTCGGGCTTTCCTGCTTGAATCGGCATCAACACTATCTGGCTAGTTTTTTGTTTTTAAAGTTATCTCATCTCCAGAGAAGAGCTGAGGCCAGCAACAACAGCAATAAACCCACAGAAGGACAAGGACTGAGTTAACAAGGGCCCTGTGTTAAACTTCCTGTGCTATGGCCTAGTAGAAATAGGCTGCAGTCTGAGATAGGCTGGTTGTATATGATCTTGGGTGAGCCACACTTTCTTCATTTTTAAAATAAGATTTGAAACTCTTTTAGTTACAGGTTGTGTAAAGTAAATTTGAACTACTTTAAGCAGAGTCGGGAACTTGAGTCCACGTAAGCAAGAATGGCTAGGACAGGACGACCCATGCTTCCCGGCTTCCTTGGCGGCTCTCGCTATCAGCCTTTTGACACCTGCCCCTCCTTTAAGGGTGTATCCCCTTCTACCTGACTTAGAAATACTTGTGCAAGTGTCTCCCATCCTGATTACGCTGTAGTTACGGGGATCCCCTGCACCAGGCATGTGTCTCACATCCTGATTGTGTTGTAGTTAGGGGGATCCCCTGCGTCGGCTCCCCACATCCCCCTCTGCAGCAGTTCATTGAAATGCACGGCTGAATGGGTAAGAGAGGAGTTGTCCTCCCAGCCTTGCAGTCTTGAGACAGGAGAGGAGTTAAGGAGTGGATGAAGTTAGAATCCCTGTGACGGAAGGGCTGTCATAGGGAAGCTGACATGTTTTAGATAGACATGTAGCTATGTCACAGATGATACATAGACAGCACAGTGATTAGTAAGGACAGGGTGGGGGGGTTTGTGAAAGAAGAAAGACACAAGATGGACCTCCCTTCTACTGAAACCTCCATTTCATTATTCCCTTACACTTTTCACTTATTTATTATTTATTCTTGGGAAGTAGACTCAGGGCTTCACACACACTAGGCTGCATTCCTGGCCCTGTGAATACCCATGTGTAAAGCAGGCTCCGCAGCTACAGACCGTCAGAGGGCGCCACGGTACTCTATCCAGCTCAATGTCCACTTTAAAGTAGAGAAACTGTGAGGCCCTGTGTGGTCCACGCTGTTTCATGGGATGAATATGGACTGGGTCTCACAGGTCTCACAGGCCCCTTAGGCCCCTTGTCCTTCCAGGTCAGCAGCCTTGCCTTTTGCTACCAAGTGACTTGTTCATATCCTAAACTCATCTCTGTTTTCCCTAAGATGAAAGCTTCGGACAAGACCAAGAGAAAAATGAGCCATTTGTACGACCACCTGAAAAAGAAGTTCATGACAGACCAGCTGAGGAAGATGCTGCGCTGGAGGCGGGAGTCTCTGAGCACCCAGCAGTACTTGAATAGGCAGCGGGTAGGCTCCACTTAGATGGCAAGCCAGCCACCGTAGCAGTGGCAGAATGATCTGCCCTGGAACACAAAACCACCCTGGTGAGAGCTGAGGGGCCGGAACTTGCTGGCCTCCACCACTGTAGAGCAATAAAGGGTTAGCAGCGGATAGGACAAGAGCGCAAGTTCTCGGTTCCAGTCTGCTTTGCTCCACCATCCCCTCCATCCCAGTGAAAGACCTGTAGCCACCAATGCTTGGTGGAAGAGGCGGAGTCAAGCCAGTATTCCTGGTTTGTGCAAACAGGGAAACTTTTGCACCCACATTTGCTTTCTCTTTTTCCCACTTCTTCTTTCCCTCCACCGTCCCCACTCCCTCCGTCTCCTTCACGTCTACCCTTCCTTCCTTCCTTCCTTCCTTCCTTCCTTCCTTCCTTCCTTCCTTCCTTCCTTCCTTCCTTCCTTCCTTCCTTCCTTCCTCATTTTGGTCTGGAGACAGCTCAGGGCTTGCATATTCGCAGGGAACATGCTCTCCCCAGTCCCGGTACACACATTCCTGGTGACACATCTGCCAGCTGCGCTGCGGCTGTTGACATCTTAGAAGGAAAGGACTGAGCAATGCCACTGTGCGACATTCCAGTGGTAAGGAGGTCAGGGTGAGGCACCAGGCGGTGTTGTTTCTGCCACCTACCAGCTTGTATGACCTTGGGACCTCTCTGGGCCCCTGTTTCCTCCTCTGAAAGAATCAGGCAGGCAGTGAAAAGATAACCTGCCTCAAGGAGCTGGCAGAGGGCAAGCGGCTGGCCCGGAGCTCATCCTTTCCAACTGCTGTAACAGTGGCGATACCCATGGGCTCCCAGCCCTCCTGGTGCTTCTGCAAGGCACCCTCAGATATCTCAGACATCCTGCTTCCTGTCTGCCCCTTTCAGAGCCTGTTCAAGTCCCGTGCTTGCTTTTCTCATTGACCTTGGGTTCCCATGGGGGCTTCATTCGGCCCGCAGTGTAGCACAGGTCTTGGTCCTTAGCCTGATTAGATTGTGGTCCTTAGCCTGATTAGATTGTTTACCTTGAGAGCCGGAAGTAAGACCCCTCTCAGATTTGATACAGGTCTGTTTTGGATGCTTCTCCAACCAGCCCTGATGATAGGCCACTCTTGTACCCAGAACCCACACCTGTGTCTGTGCCAAGTGTTTGGCTGGCTCTGACTTGTTCACATACCTTTCTTCCTGGTCAGGCTGTGACACTGACGTCTCTAATCACAAATCTAGGAAAGGGAACAGGTATTTGCTTTTATTTTATCCTAGAGAATTTCATACAATGTCTCTTGACCCTAGCCATCCCCACTGCTTTCATGTCTCTCTTTTTTTTTAAGGAAAGACTTTTGAATCAGATGTCCTGGTCTTCTGGCTTTGGTTGCCCCTTCTATGATGTCCGCCGCGTCTTGAAGATAGAGTTGTATTGTAATTGTATTACTTGGGGTCAGTTGATATCTGCATTTTGACCAGTTGTAACTTTTTATTTTACGTTTTGCCTACATCTCTGTCTGTGTATCTTATGTATACCTGGTGCCTGCCGAGGCCAGAGGCAGCATTGGATCCCCAGGCACTGGACTTTCAGAGGGTTGGGATCGCCGTGTGGGTGCTGGAATCAAACTCAGCTCCTCTGCAAGTGCTCTTAACAGTCAAGCTATTTTGGTCCATATGATGATGATGATGATGATGATGATGATGATGATGATGGGTTTTTGAGACGGGGTCTAATGTATACCTTTCTGACCTTGAGCTCAATATGTAGCTGATGATGGCCTTGAACTCCTGATCCTCCTGTCTGTGTCTCCTGGGTGCTGGGACTATGGGTGTGTGCTAACACACTCAGTCCATCCTCACACTCTTCCTACACTCCTGAGAGAAAGCATGCTGTATCTGTGGCACTTATTCTGCTTTATAGATGACATCTAATTACACTCATTTTTCTGCAAATACATCACTTTTATTTACAGCTGAATAAAATTTATTTTTATTTATGTATTTTTAAAATCCATGCATCTGTTGATGGACATCTAGCCTAATTTCATTTCCTGACAATTGTGAATACTGCATTAATAAACATGTATGTGTAGATGCCTATGTGTTATGCTGACTTATTGTCTTCTGAGTGCTCAAGGGTGGGCAGCATGCTAATTTTAATATTTTTTGAGGAACCTGTGATTTCTGTAGTGGTGGCAACAGTTTCCATATGACTGGCAGTGTGCCCTTGCCAGCATTTATTGTTGTTGGTGGTATCTTAATCATAGCCTTTCTGCCTTGAGTGAGTTGGGATCACAAAGTAGTTTTAAAGTGCCATTTCCCTGATTACTGTTGAAAATTTACGTGTATGAGTATTTGCTTGCATATAGACGCGCGTGTGTATACCATGTGGGCGCCCAATGCCTGAGAAAGCCAGAAGAGGGCGTTAGATCCCTGGAGCTAGAGTTACAAGGGGTTATTAGACTCCTGGCATGGATGCTGGGAACTGAGTCCAGGTCTGCTGCCAGAGCGGTGCGTGCCCTTAGCTCCTGCACTGTCTACAGCCCTAGGCTTCATGTCTAAAATGATCTTATTGTTTTAGTCAAGATTCTCTAGAGGGACGGAACTGATGGAATGAATATGGGTATATGTTAAGGGGGAATTTATTAGGATTTATTAGGTGATTCACAGGTTGTGGGCTAAGTAGCCTAACATGGGTGCTTTCCAACAGAAAAGCCAAGAAGTCAGTAGCTGTTCGGTCCATGTGCTGGTGATCCATCCGGAGGATTCCTAGAGGGCCACTGGCCTTCAGTCTACACTAGAATCCCAGTAGTAGGTTCTAGCCCAGTGGAGAAGTGCTTTAGCAACAGGGTAGATGAGCTCGCCATCGACAGTGAGGGCAAGCAGGCCAACAGCAAAAGCTTCCTTCTTAGGTGTCCTTTTCTGCCAGCTGCCAGTAGGTGTGGCCCAGATGTAGGGTGGGTCTTCCCACCTCACATGATCCAATCACAAAACATCCCTCATAGGTGTGCCCAGCTGCTTAGATTTTATTTGGTTCCAAAGATATTCATGTTGACAATCAAGATTAGCCATCTCATTTGTGTGTGTGTGTGTGTGTGTGTGTGGGGAGACACAGGGGATAGAGAACAATGCTGTGGATTTGCTTCTTTTCTATCCCCTTTACATGGATTCTAGAAATGGAGCTCAGTTGTCAGGCCTGTATGGTAGGTGCCTTTACCCTGAGCCATCTCTCTGAGCTACCTTTCCCAGCTTCAAAGTGTAAGTTTTCAAAATAGTCCCTAACGACCCTCTGAATTTCACTGAAGGCTGTTTTAACATCCACTTCTATATCTCAATTCTATTCACTTAAGCTTTCTCTTCCATTAGGTTAGCTAGAGGTTTGTCAATATCACTTTTTAAAATCTTTAAAATTGTAATTACTCATGAGTGTGTGTGCCAGTGCACACGTGGAGGTCAGAGGACAACTTTCAGGAGTCGGTTCTGTCCTTGTACTGTGTAGGTTCTGGGGACTGAACTCGAATTTGTCGGGTGTGGTGGCACCTTACCCACTGAGGCGTATTGCCAGCCCTGCGTTTTCACTTGCTGGCCCCGGAATCACACTCCTCTTCGGCTCCTCGTGCTGGGATTACAGGTGTGAGCCACTGTCGTGTGAGCCTGCCTGAGGAGGCACAACTTACATTTCTCTACCCACCCCAGATAGGGAACCCATGACAGACAAAAGTTTTGGCCACACCAGAATCCAACTTGATGAACAGACAAATGTGTCGTATGATGATGAGTCTGTTCATTAGTCTCACAGAAGTATGACTGTGGGTTACTTACAGGAGCAGGGACTCAGAAGTAGCTTTTATTACACAAGCAGACGCCATGTGGGTGGTGACCGGTGGATGCTGCAACCCTGGAGAGCAGTTTGACAGCTCCGAGAGTCTCTCCCCGGCAGCTGTGTGGGTTAGAGTCACCGTCTCACCCAGCCCAGCACAGTTGACTGTCTCTGTAACCTTGGGCCGGGGCTCTCATGGATCTTTTTTAAGGTTCAGCCTTCCCGAGCATGTGACGTTTGTTTCCTCCTGAGTCTCATCCTTCCACTCTCTCATGGAAGAGACGGCTTCAACGAGAAGGGAACTGCTGTGTATGACAGCCACCACAGCTGTCTGTGCCGCGTTCTTTCAGTCTTCTTCATCTGCGTCCTGAATTTCATATTTATTGCCTTCTCCTGCTTTAGGGCTTGTGTTCTCGTTTTTTAGTAGTACAGCTGCCTCGTTAGGTCATTCATTTGTCATCTCTCTGATTTTTAATTAATTTAGCTATAAGCTGTCCCCTTAGAACTGCCTTAACTGTCTCCAAAGCTTCTAATAAGCCGTGCTTTCATTTTCATTTGAGGCTACTAATATTTTAACTTTCTCACTGATTTCTCTAGCGAACCACTGTTTGTTCAAGTATGTAAGCTTAGTCTACATGTATTCATGTGATCTCTGTTGCTATTGATATCTAGTTTTATTCCACTATGATTTGATAATATAAAATAAATTATTTTGATAATTTTATATTCATTAGGCTTGTTTTGTAACCTAGAATGTCTATTTTAAAGAAGGCTCCATAGGCTGCTGAGAAGAATGCATAGCCCGTATCTTTCAGATAGAATATCCAATAGGAATCTGTTAAGTCCATTTGATCTATAGTATAGTTTATTCTGAAGTTTCTTTGTTGATTTGGTTGGAAAGACCTATCTAAAGAAGAGAGTGTTGTGTTGAAACCACCCATTGTTATTGTATCAGTACCTATCTGACCTTTTCTGCCCTTTAGTGTTTGTTTTATAAAATTCAGAGCCCCAAATTTGATGCTTACACATTCTGTGCATCCTCACGATTGTGATGTGATTACCATTGCTCCTGCCCCCTTCTGTGAAACCGCGTATGCTACCATACCTCAGTACCTAGCTTAATATTTGCCTTTATCTCTTCTGGGGCCAGCAAGATGGGTTAGTGGGTTAGGGTGCTTGCTGCCAAGCTTGATGAACCTGAGTTTGATATCTGAGCCCTGCATGGTGGAGTGACTCCCACAAGCTCTCTTCCAAATATGTACCATGGTGTTGTACACACACACACACACACACACACACACGATAAATAAATGTGAAAAAAGACCTGAAAGTAGCTATGTGTGTTTCTGTGGGAGGCTCCATTTGCTTGGTAAATTGATTTCCACCCTTTGTTGACGTTCAGTTGGATGTTATTGCTAGTGAGATATATTTATTGGGGACAATAGATACATGAGATCTGTTTTATTTAATCTAGTTAACTAGTCTCAGTCCTTTTAACTGAAGAGCTGAGGCCATTTATATTTATACATTTAAGATATATTATTGAGAAAGGCTTGCAAATGTTGGCTGGATTTCTTTCTTTTTTTTTGGTATGTGTATGTATATGTGCATGCTTATGGGTGGGTACACATGTATGTTGTGCATGCTTACGGGTGGGTACACATGTATGTTGTGCATGCTTATGGGTGGGTACACATGTATGTTGTGCATGCTTACGGGTGGGTACACATGTATGTTGTGCATGCTTACGGGTGGGTACACATGTGTGTTGTGCATGCATGTGGAGACCAGATGACAGCTTCTGGTTCTTCCTCAGGAGCCAGCTACTTTGTCTTTAGAGCTGGGTCTCTCATTGCCTCGAGCCTTCTGGTTTGGCTCGGCTCACTAGCTAGCAGGTCCCAGGTATCTGTTTCCATCTCCTCCGTGTATCCCCTACATTTCCATTTTTGTAAACATGGGTTTTGAGGATCAAACTCATGTCTTCATGTTTGTGTGGCAAACTTTCACAGGCTGAGCCCTCACCCCAGTCTCCCTCTCTTTTCTTCTCTATTGGCCTGGGCTGTTTGCTGCTTTGCTGTGCTGGACATGATAGGTTACTTCCTTCCTTTGTTCATTTGTTCCTCCCACTCCTGTTTTCATTTACTCCTTCGTTTGTGTGAGTGTATGTATGTGGGTGCATGTAGGTCACAGCATGTGTGTAGAGGTCAGAGGACAACTTGCAGGAGTGGGTCTTTCCTTGTACCATGTAGGTTCTGGATTGTACCCGTGTTGACCAACTTGGCAGCAAGTGCCTTCACCCACTGAGCTGTCTTGCCCCTGTTTCTAAAGCTAACTCCATACTTGGTATCCACAGGCGCATCCATCCAGCAAGGGGATTCATGTTCCAGGTTTAGAAACGACAAAGACAGATGTACCTGTTTAGATCTCAACGGGGTGTTTTCTTCCCAAAGTCCCACCCACTTGAGAAACACCCTCTAGCTACAACATTAACCTTCCCAGGGGGTATGAACTTGGAGTCCCAGGAGGGTGGGAAAACCTGTCCGGTCCACAGACGGCAAAGCTGTGTGTGGCCAGAAGAGGATGTTTGGTCCAAAAGGAAGGGAGGCTACTAAAGTGAAGATCGCTCTGGAAGACATTGGGTATTTGTCCAATACAGGGTCAGCATCAGCAAAAACATAAAGACAAGAAGAAGTCTTCATGTCCCCAAAAGTCTCCAGTTTTAGGACTCAGAGAGAAGCCATTTAAATGCAGTCTCTCTTTGTGTGAGCTCCCTGTGTTTTTAATTTTGGATCTTTTACCATATTTCAGTAGTGGGATTAAAGGCATGAACCACTACTGTTGTTGCTGGTTTTTTCTTCTATTTTTAAATTTTATTTTATTTTGCTCTTTGAGGGGTCCACCACCCAGCTCCCAAATAAATGCATGGAGACTTATTTTTATTTATGAATGCCTGGCTTTAACTTGGCTTGTTTCTAGCCAGATTTTCTTAAATAACGCTGTCTATCTTCTGCCTCTGGGCTTTTACTTTTTCTTTCCTTTTCCGTGGCTGACTGCCTGGGTGTCTTCCTACCCCATGGCGTCCTCCTCCTCCTCCTCCTCCTCCTCCTCCTCCTCCTCCTCCTCCTCCTCCTCCTCTTCCTCCTCTTCTATAGTTATTCTCTCTGCCTGGCAGACCTACCAGTTTTTATTATTATTATGGGTTTTTATTTTTAAGACCAATTAGAGCTTTGCAACAATTGGCGCCCCACTTTCAGGCACGAATTCACAGAAAAGCCACTAG